AAAAAAAAAAGGCAATCAGCGGGACGGTTTCTGGCTGGCACGTATGAATCTTGCTACGCATTCCAGTCGCTCGAATACTGTGGGATTTTGATTTTCTTCGAGGGCTAGCTCCGGGCCGTTTGGATGGATTTTCGATTGGAAGGTACGAGAAGAATCGTGAATCTTTTGACCTTTATACTGCGAAGTTTGAAAGCGGAGCGATTCGATTTTGGGGGAAAAAAATCGCTCCGGCGCTGGACCCTTTCAAAACAAGGATTCCTCCCTTGTCCTTCTATTATATGGAACAGTCAACGGCGAACTCAAATTCATTCAAAATCGCTAAAAAAAACCGCTTTTGAGGCAAAAGGACGACTATACACCACAGGTAAGGTAATTCAACGTTTATTTATAATTGATTTATATACATAGTTAGCGATATATCGCTATAGGTGAAGCAAACGGTAAATCCAGTACATTTACTATAAAATAACAATCGGCTACACAAACAGATTGTGTGGGCGCCCTGTGATACGACAAGGAGGAAAATATGCCAGATCTTCGCCTCGGCAATGTATTCCAGCTACCAAGCCGGCGTATCTCCAGAAGGTGGACTCGAAGTGGGACAAACGTTGTGATTTTTTTAGGAGCCCTTTGTGCGCAAACTAATTTATTCTGGCGCAAAATGAAGATTAAGAAAATGTATCTGAAATCTAATACACGACAAGAAAATTTTCGCACTTTCGAGGAGCGCGACATATTAAATGGGATTAAGTCGGATTAGCTGCCCGCGGAGAAAACATCCCTGCGTGGGATGGTACTTCCAGTAAAAAGCCTCTGTGTCCTCTCATACCCCATCCAGACCCTCCATCGAATCTTCAGGCAGTCTTAAGTTGTTAGGTTTCACCACAGACGACCAGTTGAATTTTAATATTCATATTAATGAAATATATATGTCAGAGGGCGAGTCAAAGGGTCGGAGTAATGATGAGGCTTAAAAAACTCATTCCTGCCAATGCTAAATTAACTTTGCATAAATCAGCCATTGTGCCCTACTTAACTTATTCCCATCTGACCTGGCACCTCTGCACTGCTTGCAATTGTAACAAAAGAAAACTCGAACGCATGTAAGAAAGAGCATTACGCGCACTTTTTCTGGATAAGCAATCAAGCTACAAAGCTCCACTGGACAAGGGTGATCTAATAACGTTACAGAATAGAAGATTGAAGGATATTGCTATCCTCATGTATAAGGTTAAACACAAACTATGTCCCACGAAAATATTCGAGCCATTTCATTTGCATTGTACACATTACAACTTGAGAGTAGCAGTGTTCGCCATCCCCAGATTTAAGACCAAGAAATATGACAAACACTTGCCCACTTATTTGGGACCTAAGTTGAGGAATAGACTACCGGGCGAAATTAGGACCCTACCGACCTCCGACGAGTTTTAAACATCGTGTTCGGAAATGTGATTGAAAGTGCACGTGACCAATCATAGGGTATACCAGAATCTGGTATACCGGAACGAGCTTTTTGTTAAAAAAGTCTTACAGGCGTTCCCTCGCTCTCACCCCTACCCTACCCCTTCGTTGCTGTTGTTTTTTTCTGCTCGCATCTTTTTGCGCCTTCCCCACGATCTGAACGTCTGTAACAGGCTGTGGAAAACTAGATCACCATATTTCCACAGGGCGGAAACGTGACGGCTATAAGCAACTCTATGTTTCCGTCGAGTTGACAAAATATGGAAACGCGTTATTTCAGTTCTCCCATGGTTTTCAAAACT